ATACAAAGACTACATATATAGACCATCTATGTATATTATATATCATGCAACATGCGTGTTAAATGTTATTTACCTTTATGTTATTTGCAAGTATTTTCTTCTAATCTTTGGCTTGTTTTCATCCTCCTGTCCATTCTTTTCTCTTTAAAAGAGCAGACATTGAGCTGGGAGGTGGTGGCGCATGCCCGCCTTTAATTCCAGCACTGAGGGGCAGAGGTGAATAGATCTCTGTGAGTTTGAGGCCAGCCTGGTGTACAGAGTTAGTTTCAGGACAGCCTCCAAAGCTATACAGAGAAATCCTGTCTCAAAAAAAAAAAAAAAAAAAAAAAAAAAAAGGGAAAGGAAAGAAAGAAAGAGCAGACATTATGAAGTGGCAAGGATATAACATTTTTTTTCTTTTATAGGTCATGTCTTTGTTGTCGTTCCTAAGAATTTTTGCCTAGTGAAGGGTTACAGTTTTTTATTTTGTTCTTTTCCCAGATTTCATACTTAAAAATATTCCTTGTAGCTAACAACTTTTTCATTTTCTGAGGTCCCTAAAACAAAAATTTACCTTTTTGTTTTTAGGTATCACAGTTCACTTATTCATTGAATTAATTATTTGTTCATTTTCAGATTTGCTAGTATTTTCATGCTATTACATTAACTCTCAATCATTTAGTGAAATAGATACTGTGTCTGTTTTACAGACTCAGAAAATGAAGGTCAGGCTCCTGTCCTGGATAATCTGCCTGGAATTAAACATATGAGCAAAAATGTAGAAATAGAGCATTGTTTTTTATCTTCAATTCTAGCCCTAATCCTCTTTGTATTAGATCACTGCATTTGTTTCTTCTGATGACATTATATTATACTTACATATTTTTTCTGGTGCTTAGGAGTCAGGGCAGGATCTTGTACAAGAGCCATCCTCAGTTGCTTTTCTACCTTATTTTTGAGCTAGACTAACTGGTCAGAATGCCCCAGGGATATTCTTGTCTCCTCCCCAGCACTGGATTACAAGTACATCTGGCTTGCTGGGCATTGGTGGCGCACGCCTTTAATCCCAACACTCGGGAGGCAGAGGCAGACAGATCTCTGTGACTTCGAGGCCAGCCTGGTCTCCAGAGCAAGTGCCAGGATAGGCTCCAAAGCTACACATAGAAATCCTGTCTCGAAAAACAAAAACAACAACAAAACAACAACAACAACAACAAAAAACCCAACGACATCTGGCTTTTTGTCTGGGTGCTGGGGATCAAACTCAGTTCCTCATGCTTTTGCTGTAAGCACTTTACCTCCTCAGCCATAGCCCCAGATCCTCTTATCTATATTTATTGTTGTAACTGTCTTTTTCTTTTTTCTCTAACTTTGTGATTGCTAGCCTCTCTTTAACTTAAATATAAAGTTTACAGAGATGTTACAAGAAATAGTAAGATGAAATCTACACCCTTTTTAAAAATAAGATTTCATGTAGTACAGTCTGACCTAAAATTTTCTATGTAGTTAAGGATGACCTCTGATTTTTCTGTGTCTACCTCCAAGTTCTGGAATTACAGGTACATGATTGGTTTAGGCAGTGCTGGGGATTGATCCCAGGGTTTTTTTTTTTTTTTTTTTTTTTTTTTTTTTTTGGGACAGGGTTTTTCTGTATAACAGCCCTGGCTGTCCTGGAACTCACAAAAATCCACCTCCTGCCCCTTCTGCCCGGCTTTAATTCTTTTTTTTTTTTTTTTATCCCAGGGTCTTATGCATGCTGGGCAGACAGACACTGCCAACTGAAGTGTTTCTCAGCCTGGCATTCTCATACTCTTCAGTGAGAATCACTTATTGTTAACATATTTGTTTTACCTATGTATTCCTTTTCTATGTGTTTGTGTGTATATACACGCATATTCCTTTCTTTCTGTACTATTTGAGAGTAAATGGCAGACGTTATTTTATACTGTAGTTCAATATTGCTTAAAAGCTTCTGATTTTCTTTAAAAACAGGTTATTAGAGCCATACATATAGCTAGTTATACCATTTATATTCTCATGTATCTTCAGCAGATGACACTGCAGAACAATTGTGCTACTTAGTGCTAGATCTAGACCCAGACATTTCATTTTAAGTGGAATGTTTTTGTCATCAGTGTTTGCCTGAACCATTTTTACTGCCTTCCTTATCCTTGTTCTTTTTTGGCTGTCACCTTTAGTTTTTGACATATCTAACTAGTGTGAGAACTTAACTGCTGTCCACACATAATGCTGCCATTCAGAGCCTGTGAATCCTTTCTGCCACTGTCTTTCTTCTTTGCTCTCTATGCTTGGTTATGTGTCACAAGGCAGGTGATACTGAAACCCCACCTGCCTGCCAAGTCCCTTCTGCTGTGAGCCAAGTGGAGGCTTGGTACTTGTTATTCCTTCACAGCAGTTGAGCTAAAGGAATGCTGCATGGCTTGTTGGAAGTTGCTGAGTGGCCTTAGTATAGTGTTCATGAGGGATATGTAGTGGACTAAGGGTCTTAGAGTCTTGGGGGAGATGTGGGTTCCTTCTGATTTTACATTAATCCCCAGGCAATATATGTTGAATGCCTCTTTATGACTATCACTGGTGGGGGCTTTGGGAACACATTATATACATAATTAAGTGACGGTATTATAGTCACCCAATTCCAGCTCTGCCGCATACCAGTTAGACAAGTTGATGTCTTTAAGTCCCAGTTTATTGTTCTGTAAAGTTGAACTATTAGTATCTACCTGGTAGGCTATTGTGAAGATTAAATAAAGGAATGTCAGTATATTGTCATTATATGCTTGATACTAGATAGTATTTTATTTTATATAGTCATATGATATATGACTGATACTATATAAAACAAAGAAGAGTAATAAAAACAGTGAGTAGTGTGATCATACAATGTATAACCAAATACTTTAATTGTGACATGTAGCTTATGAAGATTATAAATAGCCCAGGAATGTAGAAAAAGGGGAACAGTCTTATGCAACCAGTCCATATTCTTGTGCCTCAGTTTTTCCACTGGACATACTGATGACAGTGTCAGTTGTTCTCTAGACAGTGTGTAAAACCTCAAAGGTTTTTTTTGTTTTTTGTTTTGGTTTTTCTCTGTATAGCCCTGGCTGTCCTGGAACTTACTCTATAGATCAGGCTAACCTCGAACTCAGAGATCTACCTGCCTCTGCCTTCTGAGTGCTAGAATTAAAGAATGGGCCCACACTGCCCAGCTCATTTTTGCTTTTCTTCTGATGGAAACAGGGTTTTGATATGCAGACCAGGCTGGCCTGGAACTCATGATTCCCTTGCCTCCACTTCTTGAGTAGGGTTACAGACATGTACCACCATACCTACCCTGCCCATTTTAGTTTTCGTTGTTTGTTTGTTTTTTGTTTTAGGCAGGGTCTCACTATATAGTCCTAGGTAGCCTAGACCTCACTATGTAAACTAGGCTAGCCTTCATCTCACAGATATGCCTGTGAGTAATCTCAATACTCTGCCTCCTGTGTATTGAGATTAAAGATATGTGTTACCATACCCAAACTTTTTTAAGCCCTTAAAGTTTTATTTATTTATTGAGATAGTCATGCTATTTAGCCTAGGCTGACCTCAAACTCATAATCCCTCTGCCTTTGCCTCTCTGGTGATGAGATGGTGGCATCTGCTATAACACCTGGATTATTTCTGATTTCCTAAGTGGTATTTATAGTAGATATTAAAGGGAAGATTGAGGAGATATTTGAAAGTTAGCACTTTTGCCAGTGTAGTTGTACATAATATAATCTGAGTACTTGGACAAGAAGGAAGATTGCTGATGTTTTAGGTCATCCTGGTCTGTGTCATGAGTTCTAGGCCAGCCAGTGCTAAATATTAAGACCCCATCTCAAAACAGAAACGTGGGTCATTGAGATGACTCAATGGGTACAGGCATTGGTGGCCAAGATTAATGACCTGACTCCTGGAAGTTGTGCTGGATATGGTTGACACACATATTTAATCCTAACACTCTGAGTCTGAGGCCAGCCAGGTCTATATAGAGAGTTCCAGGCCAGCATGGTGAGACCCTGTTTTTCAAACAAACAAAAACCCGGGGATGAGATGACTTCTTTCCAGGAATGGTACTTGATTTAATATTATTCAGTTGTTTGTCTCACAGACCTTTTAGTTGGTTAGAGCCAAAAGTTGGTTAGTGGATGATCTCTCATTCTGAGCCCATCTATATAATTTGAGGATTAAGTGATTTATAACTCAGTTTTTTTCTGATATGTCAAATAAGTGAACAGATGAGGCAGAATGCTTGAGTCTTTTGGATTGGACATTAAGGACCTGTGGTCCACGACCATGAGTGATTCTCTGAGACAGAGCCTCACTTCCCTAGAACGGGGCCTAGACTGATGATGTGCCTCTCCTATAAGCAGGCTTTCATAGCCTTGAGTGGAAGATCCCTTCAGAACAATGCTTTACTAATGACACCAAGAAGACAGCTGAGTTCTTGTTTTAGTTCTTTTTTTTACCTCATTCTGGAAAATTGGTTTTTATTTCTGTCCAGTTCAACTTTCTTCTTCAAAATATCAGAGAAGTTTCCCATGAAAGTGAAGCTGTGCTGGGCTGTGGTGGCACATGCCTTTAATCCCAGCATTTGGGAGACAGAGGCAGGCAGATCTCTGTGAGTTCGAGACCAGTCTGGTCTACAAGAGCTAGTTCCAGGATAGCCTCCACTCCCTCAGAGAATCCCTGTCTCGAAAAACCAAAAAAAAACCCCGTCCGAAAAAAAAAAAAAAAAAAAAAAAAAAAAAAAAAAAAAGCTGCCTACACTTGTTTTTCCTTTAGTTTAGCATATCTCTCTCTCCTCTCTCTCTCTCTCTCTCTCTCTCTCTCTCTCTCTCTCTCTCTCTCGCCATTGTTTGCCAAGGTTTCAAGTTTATACTGAGAGGTGAGGCAACGTTGATCTTGGCAGAACAGCGCAAAGCCAGTAGAGTCATTACGTGACGTAAGCTTTTTATTTTTCCTTTCTGTTAAAGCTCTTTGGCACAGCTGGGTATTCTGTCTCAAGAAGAAAAGAGAGGAGACCTTCTGAAGATCTGGTAGAGAGGACAGAAGAAATTTGCAACATATTTCAAAGGTGCAGTAAGGAAGATCAACAAAAATCCTACTGAGAATCCAGACAAACTTGTTGGCTTCGTGGCATCTTCCCAGTTGTGTAGAGCTTGGGTTTTGCAGGAGGATGATGAGACAAGGCGCTAAGAGGCCAAAGAGGAGTGTGTGGGATTCCTGCCTCTCCTTCCCGCTGGAGAAATCTTCAGTCCACAAGAAGCATTAGAAAGAAGGCTGAAGAGCTTATCTTACTTAGCCTGGTCCTGGATACTGTTGAGTTGAGGACTCCTTTCCACCTGTTTCACCAGGACTTTTGGGACACATAGGAGGAAGCAATACTTCTCTTCGTTGGTCATGTGTCAAGTTACATTTTGAACACCAGGGCAAGTGAAGGACAGCTTTGTTACCTGGATCTAAAGGGGACCCATTCTTTGAACTTATATATGTGATGCTTGGGAGGTTGTAAACTCAGTCTCCCAATATAAAAGCACTCTGCATTCTTTTCCTTTGAGGACTTCAACAGATGCAAGTTCCCTGCCAAAAAGACAGAAGGACTTTTCTTTTTTTTCTTCTTCTTCTTAAATGTGAGTACTTTTGGGGCTAATGTGAACAATAATGTCTTGGAAAAGAAATTATTTTTCAGGAAGCCGTGGTAGTGTTCAAGGGATGTTTGCACCTCGAAGCTCAATGTCTATTGCCCCCAGCAAAGGCCTCAGCAATGAGCCAGGGCAGAACAGCTGCTTCCTCAACAGTGCTCTGCAGGTAAGGCTACCCCTTCCTTCTTTGTGACAACTGACATTTAGTCCACAGAGCTGTGTTTGCACAAACTTTGAAATGTGATAATTGACAGCTTCTTTCTGAAGTCTGTAACCTGGGATCACATTTTATGTTTATCTGTGATTTTAGGCCAGGAAATTTATCTTTTTGAATGTTAGTTACCTAATTTGTAAATTGGAGACTAATAATAGAAGTGTTGTTAATCTGTTTTTTTTGCTTTCATGTGCCTGTGTTGTGATGTGTGTGTGTGTATTTGTGAGTGTCTGCTTTCTCTGGTGATCCTTCTTCTCTGCCTCCCCAGCACTGAGATTACAGGCAGGGCTGCCATACACACTTAATGATTTCCTGGGTGCTGGGATTTGAACTCTGGTCCCCATGCTTATGCAGCAAGTAACTGACCCACTAAGCCATCTCTCCACCCCCAAGTAGCTTTCAAGTAGCAGAAACTCTAGGTGTGCCCTGGCCTGGTACTTCAGGGCAGTTTTAGTGTTGTTTTCTTCAAAAAGATTGTTCCTATTATTTTAAACTCTGTAAAGGTATGTGTCTACTTCTGAGTACAGTACCCTTGGAGACCAGTGTCCTTGTATACATGAATTATAGAAATTGTGAGCTGCCGGGTGGTGGTGCCACATATGTTTAATCCCAGCACTAGGGAGGCAGAGGCAGGCAGATCTCTGTGTGTTTGAGGCCACAGAGGATTGTTACACAGAGAAGCCCTGGCTGTCCTGGAACTCAATCTGTAGATCAGGCTGGCCTCAAACTCACAAAGATCTACTTGCCTCTGCTACCTTTGTGCTGGAATCAAAGGTGTGCACCACCACTGCCCCGCTGTGGTGTGTGCTCTTATCTACTAAGTCTTCTCCAGCCCTGATGCTTCACCTTTTTGAGATGTGTTTGAATATGTTAGAATGATCTTTTTTTCTGAGCATATTTTTTTTTTTCACAACCATTCCCTGTTTGCTTGAATTCTTGATTTTAAAGTTAAAGGTTATTTGTAGGCTAATGAGTGTCCCCTGTTTTGGAAGGTTTTGTGGCATTTGGACATCTTCCGCCGTAGCTTTCGGCAGCTTACAACTCACAAGTGCATGGGTGACTCCTGCATTTTCTGTGCTCTCAAGGTAAGCTCCTTGGATTGCTTCTTCTCAGTATCTTTATGTTGCCAAGTTGTTAATATTGAGGGAATTTGTTAAATTAGAGCAATTCTTTTCTTTTTCCTCCCCTGAGATAGGTTTTCTCTGTGTAGCAGCCCTGGCTATCCTCACTTTGTAGACCAGGCTGACCTTGAACTCAGGTCTACCTGCCTCTGCCTCTAAGTGCTGGGATTAAAGGTGTTCACCACCATGCTTAACACCCCATTGAATTCTTTCTTCCAGTTCTCTACCTCATATTTTCAGGTTCTGAGTGAAATAAAACTGGGCATTTGTATAGAGACAAAGAAAATGAGAAATTTGACTAAGAAAAAGAAACCTGATGGTTGTTGGTTGGTGTGTATCTTTGGCTAACATGTAGTTCTCCTGTGTTTTTTTTGTTCACATGTCCAATAGATTGTTGTGTTGACGTGAATCTATAGCATCCATCTGAGTTCAGAGTACAATTCCAGGGTCATTATTATATTTATGAAGGCTGCATTCTTCTCCCCCCCTTCTTTCTTTTTTCTTTTCTTTTCTTTTTTTTTTTTTTTTGGTTTTTCGAGACAGGGTTTCCCTGTGGCTTTGGAGGCTGTCCTGGAACTAGCTCTTGTAGACCAGGCCGGTCTCGAACTTGCAGTGATCCACCTGCCTCTGCCTCCCAAGTGCTGGGATTAAAGGTGTGCGCCACCAACGCCTGGCTCTTTTTGGTTTTTCAAGACAGGATTTCTCTGTGTAGCCCTGACTGTCCTGTAACTCACTCTGTAGACCAGGCTGACCTCAAACTCACAGAGACCCACCTGCTTCTGTCTCCTGAGCATTGGGATCAAAGGGGTGCACCACCATGACCAGCCTGAAAGCTGAATTCTTTGTTTATCATGACTGTCTAGGTGTGATCATTATATATCTAATTTAGTTGACTTTTAGTTTAAAGTAGAAATTGTGAACCAAATACTCTTGAATTTACATTGGTTATATGCAATAGTTGACTAAAAAGTTTTTTTTTTTTTTTTTTTTTTTGAAATAGGCTCTTATGTTATCAGGATTAGCCTAGATTGGCCTTGAACTCACTACTTAGCTGAGAGTGATCCACACACTCCTATGTGTGCTGGAATTATAGTCATGCACCACTAAGCCCTGTTTATTTGATGCTGGGGTTAAGCCTAGGGCTCTATGCACACCAGGCAAGCACTTTACAAATTAAGTTATATTGCTAGCCTTTACTTGATACTGTTTTTGGAAATATTTTGTCTTTTTGCTTTGTTTTTGAGACTGGGTGTTATTTTATGTTTACCTACCTGGCTGTAGGCTAGGCTGGCTTTGAACTTGGTTTTGGTTCTTCCACCTCTAGTTGCAAGTTCTGGTCTAGCTCCCATTACAGGATCCTGGGAAGAATTGAGTGAGTCCTCTAAACTTTCTGTCATTGGGTTGCAAACATCTTTGCTCTATAACTTAATGTGAACCACTGTAACTTGTAACAAAACAGTATAAATAATGGATGTATAATCAAAATACATTATATACATGTATGAAATTGTAAAAAAAATAAATTATTAGCTAATTAGTTTAAATATAAATTTAACAAACTAAGTCTTTAATAAGTTGATTGTAACATTTCCTTCTAGGCATATTTAGAAAGATCTATCCAAAAGAACATTTTACCTAATTTTATAAATGACATTTTTACATCAACACATTTTCTCCTTGGTCAGTAAGTTCAAGGTATATCTGATTCATGGCATTAAAGCCAGGCTGGCAGATACTTGCTGAGGAAATACTAATCTTGGAGAGACCCTGGAATTAGAGTCTCCCAAAACTGGAAACTCATATGGCTTGACTGGTTGGGACTTTACTGTACTACTTATTTATTTGAAATGGGGGTCTTAAACATAAAAGTCCTCCTGCCTCAGCTCCTCAGTGCTGGATTGCAGGTATAAGCTACTATGTCTAGCTTTGTACAGTTTTTGACTTGGCAGGGACTCTGGAGAACCAACATAGTCATGTGTTTCCTTTTTCAGAGTAACATTGTTATTTGAATATAAGTACTTTATAAGCCAAAGAGAGGGAAACTACCCTTCAGACTTTATGGTACATATCCAAAGATATCCAAACAGAAAGGAACTTCCCTTTTTGGCTTGAGGAAATAAATATCTTGAGACTTCAGAGAAGATGATGCTTATGATAGATGGGGAGATATACTTAGGGGGTCAAAGGTTCTATTTTGGGATCTCATAATTCTGAGGATTTTTACAATTTTAATATTTTTCTTATGGTATTACTACTTAGTCTGACCAGATTTCTTTTCTTTCTTTTTTTTTTTTTTTAATTTATTTAATTGTATTCATTGGTGTGAAGGTGTCAGATCCTCTGGAACTGGAGTTACGAACAGCTGTGAGCTGCCATGTGGGTGCTGGGAACTGAACCTGGGTCCCCCGGAAGAGCAGCCAGTGCTCTTAACCACTGAGCTATCTCTCCAGCCCCCAGATTTATTTTCTTTTAGTTATTAGAAAATATAGTGACTTAGGCACTGTAGGGAACCAACTTGATGTGACTAATGTCATTTTGATTGTAACTGTCATTTTGCCCTGCAGGTGATCCTGGCATGCATTCTAAACACAAACATACACACACTCATATACAAAGTAATCTCACTAACATGTTCCTAGATGAATCAGGGGCCAGCTGGCTGCATGTCCCATATTTAGATGAAGGATTTGCCCCCTAAGTATTACTGGGTTTCGCACCCTGTTCATTCTCTGGGTACAGAATTTCGCCTTGCACCACCTCCTGTTGTGGGATATTTGTATACTGTGTGAAGGTGTATTGCTGTGGTTGGTGTAATAAAAAGCTGAATGTCCAATAGCTAAGCAGGAGGAATAGGCAGGATTTCTGGGGAGAAAAAGGAAAAGCAGAAAAATCTAGGCATACAGGAGACATGGAGAAACAGGAAGTGTAAGATGGAAGAGAGGGAGCACCACGTGATAGAATGTAGATTAATATATATGGGTTAATTTAGGTTATAAGAGCTCATGGGACCAGCTTAAGCTAATGGCCAAACTTTTAATAAGAAGTCTCCATGTCATTATTTGTGAGCTGATGGCTGACAAAAAACGCTTATTACAAGCTCTTCAAATGTTTGTCCCATGGCCTTCTATGGAATTCTTTGAGGGCTTTATTATTTTTGTTTACTTCTGTTTTCTCAGCATCTGTCAGTGCTCTTGTGCTTTTTGAATTTTACCACTTATATGTTGTATCCAGTGCTCCCGATTGCTTTATGGTGGTTTCTATATAATATTTATGATTCTTTTCTTTTGGAACGATGAAATATCCTGTTCCCCATGTTAATTGGTATTAAATCTATATATTAATTTCAACCTTTAGTTCTGGCATACAAATTCCTGGTAGTGACCTTTGTTTTAAAGAATTTGTGTCAACAAGATAGCTCAGTGGGTAAGGTGCTTGTCATCAAGCTTAAGACCTGAGTAATTGGAGTTTCATCTCCAGGACCCACATGGTGGAAAGAGAACCAACTTCTGCAAGCTGTCCTCTGACCTCCACACATCTGCTGTGGTACACTTGTACCAGCACACATGCATACAATCATATACAAATAAATTAATTAGTTAAAAAAAGAGAATCCATACAGTATCACTGTATCATTTTGCTTACTCTGAACCTTGATGCCTGTCAACTCTGATTTAACAAATAGAATGTTGTACCAATTAATGTTTCCTTTCAAAACCCAACCTATTCCCATCTATTATGATTAAATGACTTTTCCTGACCTAAATAGTCATCTCCCGTAGCCTGGAGTTCTTATTGTTCATGTTGGATTCCTTCTGCACCCCCTGTCCACTGGCTATAACTTTACTTTGGTGTTGGCATATTCATTTGTCTCTGTTCTGGGAGGAAATCCGTCCTCTGTACTTAGTATGCGACAAAGATTTTGTTCTTCTTCCAGGGATTGTACTAGAGCTTTTATAGTGCCAGCACGTAGGACAGAGTACTTTTTGTTATAGGCAAAGAAGAATGTTGCTTTGATTGATTAAATTTAATTTTTCAATTAGGATTTAAAAAAGAATCCTAGAATATGCATAAAAGATGGTGGATGATGCCTACTGGGGTGGGGTGATGGAGGTAGTAGGTTTTGTATTATAAGTAAGATGCCAGAAACTTTTGTATTAAGAGAGCAGTTAGACTGTTTAGCTGTGGCAAATTTGAGAATTTAAGGGGGGAAATCCTTTAATATCTTCTGAGTTGTACCATGTGGCTGTTCCTTTTGAGTAATGAAAGATTAGCAGAGGGAATAAAATGATCTGAGAAATTATTCATTGTTCATTATCAACCCAGTTTTTTCTAGACTATAGCAATCGAAAGGTTTTTCATTATCCTTCATGGCCAGTATCAGAGAGTAAACCTATTATTCTACACTACTTAAAGCAGCAAATGTTATTTCTAGTTTGCTCCCCAGAAATCTTAGCTAGTAAATGAAAGTCTACACATGAGGAAGAAAATCTTTATGTCTATTCCAATTTTATAACTTTAGTTTCCTTATTTTGATGACCTATAGATATGAGCATAATTGTGTTGGTTTTTGATTAGTCTTACTTAAGTCCTCCAAGGCTATGGATATTCTAACTATCTTCAGCTGATTTTACCTTTGAGATAATTTGGATAATTTAAACTGAATCCTTCATCCTTTTTGAAATTTTGAGTTCAGACTGCACATTTTAATCAAACAGGGTAACTACAAAAGAAAATAGAGAAATCATGATTCTTTTCTTTCTAGGAATTTATGGCAGTTGAAACTTAATATAGAGTTAGAATCTTTGTACATATCCACAAGTCCTCTAATTTCCCCAACACAAGAAGTGGATATGGTATTGCTTCTAGTAACGTTGTTAATTTTTGAGGACCCTCATCTTTTGTTATGGCAAAGTTAGTAAATTGGCCATTGTGTTGTATAAAATATCAACATCAGTTTATGATTT